ATCAGCAGGCAGCCAGCTGAACTGAAAGTAGCTGGTGTTCACACTGGTCCAATTTGGTATTCATTAGCAGATCTGATTCAAAAGGAAAAATGGTGAAAAGGCTCTTGAGAGCAAGAGTTAAAAGTCAAAGCTTTTTTTTTTTATTTTCCTAGCTGTGTATCTATAATCCTTGTTCTTCTTAGCTCTTATCATGGAAAATTCTGAGTTCTCTGTAGAAAAGTTCACCCTGGCACCTTCTGCTGTACCTCCCTTTCCTCTCTCTTTGTCCTACTTAAACAATCTATGAAATCTGAGTCACAGAATCACAGTGGACAGCCAGGAGAAAATACACAGACCCTTCATCCACACATTCAGTCTCACATAAAACAAGGTCCTTTTGGGAAAAAAGCCTTGGGGTCAAAATGAAAATTTGGGTTTTGAATAAATTAAAGCTAAGCCATAAACCATAGTTTAAACATGCACTCTTCTGCCAGCATGTTTTCCAATATCAATGAGCAAAGAATATACTAGGAACTATAAGGACCATGAAGACTTCGTAAAAGGTAACATAAAGGCAAGGTCACTGAGCACAAAAACATGTGAACACTTTCTACAACATTCTAGAACATTCTTTCAATTCAGCATTACTTGAGTATGCTGAATATAATATAATGCAGTAACTATAATGTAATGCAGCAATTCAAACATGGTCCTGGTGATAGTTTCAATAGTATCTTTTGGGATTTGGAAAAATACATGTTTATGAGAAAAATAGGTCATGACTATTGTTCATTGTGACATATCAACTTGATTTGAGTAAGAAATGCCTACTAGAATGCAATGTTCTGGGTTTGTCTGTGGGTAACGAAATGTAGGACACAAATTTGCAGCTCTAGTGAACACTAACTAATGCATGTACAATCTAGATGTCTAGGTTAGATAATTACTTTAAAGCATGACACCTTTAGATAATGTCTTCCACCATTAAGGTAATGATTCAACATTTTACAAATACTAAGAATACAGTTCAGAGACGTAACCACAATCTAGGCATACTCAACCAATTGTAATTGATCAACAACAAATAATGAAAGAAAAAAGGATTTTTTTTCTCCACAATGCTTTGATAACTTCAGATGTGCTTTCTAACATTTAATATGTTTATATCAAAAGTTAATTGGGGCCAGGGAGATAGCTCAGTAGAATAAGCGCTTGCCTGGCAAGCACAAGAACTTGAGTTCAATTCCCGGTTTCACCGAAAAGAAAAAAAGTTAATTAATCCTCTCTTCACTTTTCCCCATCTACCCTTTTCCTTCCCTCTAACATACAGAAAAAAGAACCAATATAAGAACCTCTTCACTCTGACTATAAACTTACTCTTTCTGATTACAAGAAATATCAAAATGAGACTAAGATGTTTTAATGCAAAAATATTTTCCAAGAGAACCAAAGAGGGTCTGGAGACTCCTTGAGAAGTAGCACCCCTACATTTCCAGCTACTTTGCTTTATTCTTATAAATAAAATTGTTCAAATTTTGAAGTTTTGCCTAGATCTTGAAAATCTGCTAATATTCTTAAGAGAACTAAGGTGCAAGCTTTCAAGGGTGGTTCTAAGCCATCTGCCCCACAACAATTCTTAGAATGCACAAAGTCACAGGATGACATGGTAGATGAGCACAATAAGGCCACCTCACAAAGATCACAGAGGTTAACTGAGGTACCCAATGATTTAAGTACACTAAAACTTTAGACCAGAAACAATCCCCACTTGATTCAGTCAAAAGACCCCAAAGACTAGTAAGAAAATTCAATGGAATCAGATATGTGAAATGTTTACTTGATATTAAGGCATTCCTGGATTGGCAGCTTTCCCAGTCAGTCTTCTGGAGGTGATAACAACACCAAAATGCCGTAAAACTAGCAAAGAAAAAAGAAATCTATGGGTAAAGAACTAATTGGTTCCATAGGGACACACTGGACAGGAAGATGGTTTCAAAGGAGACAGTGAAAATTCTCAAGCACAGAAAGCTACAAATATCAGACACTTCTTCATTGTAAACCCAATCTCTTCAAACAGACATCCGAGATTTGCCAACAAAATAAACACAACACTAACAGGTGTGCCTAGGTGAAGTTCAGGAGAAGTGTGGTAACTCTCCAGATGTGGCCAGATGTTGTAGGGAGCCTCTGCTCTCCTAGGGAAGACCAGAGATAACCCTTTGTGTGGGCCCAGATCTAGCATATCTTTAGGAATTCTCTTTTCCACCTTTAATAATCCAAAACTCTGTAAGATTTAGTAATCTTGACATGATCAATTTACGTCCATCACTGTTTTTGAATTCTAGGCTACCCCGTTTTTACCATCTATGGATAGAATCCTGGTACATCATAGTAGGCTGAACATCAACAAGGTCTGAACAAAAACTATGGTGAGTTTAATCTGCAAAAAATTATCACAGAAAATGACACATTATATCAACTCCCTCACTTTGAACACTCTCAATGTTTCTGCTATGTTCTGGAGCAAGTCTAATGTCCTCTTTCTTGAATGTCTTCATTTATATTGTCTTGACTGACTTGATGTTCTGAATTGATTCAAAATATTTGCTTTTTGGGGCAGGCAAGATGGATCAGTAGACTAAGTGCCTGCCTGGCAAGCACAAGGACCCAGGCTCAATCCCTGACACCAAATGCCCCACCAGCCCTGCTCTCATGTGCACTGAGCTGGCCACCAAAACCAGGTGTTGTGGCACATGCCTGTTATCTCAGCACTGGGGAGGCTGAGACAGCAGGATCACTATGAGTGTGAGCTGTGTAGAGAGACCTTGTACCAAATACATAAAAGTTTTTTTTAAAGTTTTCTTTTCATAATCATTTTGACTTTGTAGAAAATGTAGAAGTCACACAGTGCCAGACCCAGTAAAGAAGGTGGATGAGAACATATTGCTGTGCGGTTATGAGCCTGTTCTCCACTTGGATGGCATCAGCAGTAGCACTGCCCATATTTGTGATCTCCCTCTTAAAAACCTTCACAAAAGAGGACTTTCAGAACTGCTTCAGAAAGTAGCAGGACCCATGGGATAAGTGTTAAATGTGTTCAAAGTAAGGAGAACTGGTGTTACAGCCCCTTCCATTGGCCCCGTGTCCATTCCCCACAGTCCAGAATCCATTGCCTCCATCTCACAGCTGGTCTGATCTCTATTTTGAGAGGATTTCATGGCAACCTGTCTTTTATGATAATGATTTTTTTTAATTTAAACATTAACTGTATATTTCTATTACACCCTATGTATTTGTGCCTGTCAGTGCTTACTTAGTCTTAGAATGAAGCTGGAAACATTCAGCAATGTGTCTTGGTTGAGACAAACCTGTATGGCCTCTGGCTGGATTGACTGCCCCTCTTTGTGAGGAGAAGAAATAGCAGAAGAACAACAAGAGCTCTGATGCATGCAAGGAAGGGAGAGACCTCCAAGATCAGGATTATGAGCTCAGGAGCAAAGGAAGACAGAAGAATGAGCATTATTGGTTATTATCCCAAGGCCACAGTTTCCTCTGTGTGCAGCGGCAGCTGCAATGACAGCAGGAAAATAAGCCCATCCCCCTCCACCGGCCCCATGTTCAATCCCCACATTTCAGGATCTGTTGGCTCCATCCTACTGCTGGTCAGATCTCTAGCTTTGAGGCATCTATCCTCAGAGGCACAATCTCTTTATCTTCCCAACCCTGCTCCTCTAAAGAGTGATGCTGTAAGCCACGCAATGTGGTGCACACCTGAAATTCCAGCACTATGAGAACATCACAATTTTCAGCTCAGCCTAGGCAACTTCATGGCTTAGCAAGACTATATCTCAAAATTAAAAATAAAACTCTAAAAGGCCAAGCATGTAGCTCAGTACAAAATCCCTGGGTTCAATACCCAGACAAGGGGTAGGAGCAGGACAGTGATAATCTACTCAATTTATCCAAGTCTTAGCAATCAAACCAAGTCATTTATCAAATACTGTTTCATCATCCTTATGTCTATTAAACATATAACTATTCATAAAAGGAACAAAGCATAAATTGCGTTCTTTCAACCTTTATTTTTCATTATCACTTTCTCTAAGTCTTTCTTGACTTTTTTCTAACCACATTCCATAAAAGTACAATGTATCAGTGTATTTGATCTACGTTTATTCTGTACTTTATGAGTTAACAGAGTAAGATTTCTTTTACCCACCAAGAATCTGATTTCTCCCCCTTGGGGAAGATGTAACACCAGTTAAGAATGGATGGCTTTGAAGCCAGTAACAATTGCGATCATGGTACCCTAAATGTTTTCCTGTCTCTCTGATAGTTAATGAAATATAAATGATCAAAAGGGCCAGCTTGCATCAGTCATCTGCACCGAACAGGTCCAGAGTGGCAAAGTCTCTCATCTCCTGAGATTCTCAGCCCCAGCCTTTCCTCGCCCCAACCCCTGTAGTTCCTACTGCCTCTTTCCTCATCTTTTGTAAAGCACCTGTGCAGAACGTTAGCCTCAATGTTATGCCAAGCTCATGTTTTCTCAATTTCGACATTTTTTGATTATAAACACTTGGGTTTAGTTCCTCTTCTGTTGCCAATGACGGAACAACACAAACAAGGTGAGGTTTATTTTGGCTCATGGTTCAGGGTTCAAAGGCAAAGGACTACATCTGGTGATGGTTTTTCTCCTTGCAGAGACTCAGGGCAGTGCAGGGCAGCACCTGACCAGAGACAGGAGCATATGTGTCTGTCTAGTTTCCATTCTTCATATAACCCACAGGATTTGATCATGATCATGGAGACTACACCCTGAGGACTTTATTGATCCTAGTGACCTTGAAAAGACTCCAGCTCTAAACATCACAGTCAGATTAACTTTCCACAGCATAAGGATTAAATTTCACCGCATGAACTTTTCAACACACCCACACCATATGAAACCCATGGAACACAGCAAAACACAAGCACAGTTAAACCGATTTCCCCACTCCAGACATGAGATAAATGTTTCTCACCTCTTGCCTTTTGAAGTTCTGGACATATTCTTCAAACTGCTCGTCTTTTGTCTCATCAGCTTTCCCCAGCTTCTGGAGGACCTGGTTTATGAATAAAACATAATGGTTTGATTTAAGGATGCTTTCATTAAAGTGTGATTAGGCACAGCAAGGCTGTTATTGTCTGTGAGGATCTCAGGAGAATTCACCGTAAACATGGTTGGTTTTTCTGTTCTGGAAGTGAGTTGATGCCTTTGGAGTAAAACAGACCTGGATTTTAATTACAGATCCACCTTCCACAGGCTGTGCAATCTGAGCAATGGCCATGATCTGTTGCATTTATTTACTTATTTATTTGTTTATCTGTTTCTTCCCAGAGGCTAGATGTGACTTTAAGGCAGAAGTCGTACCATACTTTTCTTTTGTCCAAAGCATCAGATACAATGCTTGATGCATAACAGGTATTGGAGTGCTTGCTAAAGAGTGAACCAAAGCTGCTGACCAGCTAAGCTACTTCCTAGGAATAGCATTAAGTTCTCCCAACACATCTTCTGGTGTTCCCCTTCAAGTTAATGCTCTCAAAGAGGCTGGGTATACACAAGAACTCATGCTAGGCACTGGTCACTCAGAAATACAAAGACGAATATACGAAGTTCCAAACACCCTAAAGAATTCATATTTGAAGGACCACATCAGGAAGGTCCACAGATAACAAACAAAACAGTGTGTTGCATGTAATGTGATAAGGTTGTGAAGTGGTATGGGCAAATTTAGATAGTTGTTTTGCTAATCACACTCAGAAATTTAACTTCAGAGTTGAGGTCTTCAGAAAATGATTGGTGAAGGTGATTTACATTGTGCTGTTAGAAACTTCAATGGAGAGCAATGTGGCAGACTTCCTTCCAGCTAAGGAAGTGGCCTGAGCAAAGATTATAGGAAAAGCTCTCATGTCTCATGGGGCTGGCCACTAGTAGTTCTATCAGCCCTACAGCAATAGATGAGGGAGAAAAAGCCCTTAGAGACCCAGTTCAAGTCACATGAGGACAAAGAGGAAAAATCAAAAAAGCCATGACCAAGTTCATTATGTGATACTCAAAAATACCAAGTGAGTCAAGAAAATGAAAACTTCATAGATATTGGCTTCTAGAAATGCACAAACCCTATGACATGAGGAAATACATTTTTTGAAAAGTAAACATTTCAGGTGCATCTGGAATACTCCAAAGTGAGGACTTTTCTTTGCACACGTAGGCCACCCATGGTGGCTCTGCAGCTGTCATCATGCCACAGAATGAATATATTGAATTAAACCATAAATGCTATGGGTACTACTTGGATTACTATGAGAAAAAGAGAAAGGAGGAAAGTCGAGAGGCTCATGAACATTCAAAGAAGGCCAAAATAAAAAAAAAATGATTGGCCCAAATGCTAAGCTCTACCACCTACAGCGCCACATGGAGAAATTACAAATGAAGAAGACCATCAAGATGCGTGAAAAGAGAAACACCAAACAAAAGAATGATGAAGAGTCTAGAAGGAGTAGTACCTGCCTACCTGCTGGACAGAGAGGGCAGTCTCATACAAAAGTATTGTTCAACATGATTAAACAAAAACGAAAAGAAAAGGCGGGTAAATGAGAAGTTCCTCTGCCCAAAGTTCATGCCCAAGGAGAAACAGAAGTATTAAAAGTTATTCAAACTGGAAAGAGAAAAAAGAAGGCATGGAAGAGGGTGGTTACTACAGTCTGCTTTGTTGGAGGTGACTTTACAAGAAAACCACCTAAATATGAAAGATTCATTAGGCCAATGGATTTACGATTTAAGAAGGCCCATGTAACACATCCTGAACTGAAAGGCAACTCTTACCTGTCAATACTTTGTGTGAAGAAGAATCCTTCATCACCACTGTATACAACTTTGGATGTTATTACCAAAGGAACAGTGATTGAGGTGAACATGAGTGAGCTGGGCCTTGTGACACAAGGAGGCAAGGTTATTTGGGGTAATTATTCCCAGGTAATCAACGATCCTGAAAATGATGGATGCATCAATGCGATCTTACTAGTTTTACAGATGTTTCATACAGTAACTTCTTACACTTATTGAAGACTACAGACCAATCAGGAAAACAATAACTCATGGAGAATTTGTCCACATACTGCATCTTGATTCTTTCTGCTTCCTTTCCCTGTTCCTGCCCCTCTTCTCCCATCTTCAGGTCCCCTTCCCATCCTTTCAAAAGACCAGTGCTTTGATACCTTGATCCTTTGGGTCATTTTTTGTCTCAATTTCATAGTTTTCCACCTTCATCTTTCTTCATTAGGTAGACTATAAATACCCAGCTCCTTAAATACATTTTAAATGAGTTTTATCATTTGACTGAATGCCTTATTCATTAATGAGCTAAATAAAATCTTGAATATATGTTCATTTTGTATTTATATAAAAATAAAATGACTTTTACAAAATACAATAAACTTCAAAGTATCACACAAATGCAAGATGCCATGTCTGTCTCTTGTTTGGCAGGGAAAATGTTAAAACCTTTATTGATACTGGTTACAATGAAATAAAAGGAGTAATGATAGCTGAGTAATAAAATCTCAGACTCTCCCTAAGAGCTGCCCCTTTAGGGGTCTTGTCCCGCATCTTCCCCTCACTTAAGGAGCATTCTCAACATCGTTAGTCAGCAGTTTGTACTCTTATTTTGTTACTTTTTTTTAACAGAATAAAGGAAAGCAAAATTACAGAGATCAGGCTTGTAAAAGAAGTAAAACTCGATGACACAGACATTCCTGACTTCCCATCCACCCCCATATTTTCATTCTAAGTTTAATGCTTTTAAGGAAGAAGGATTTAACTTTATTGTTTCTTTTTTACCTTCTTAAAAATAATGTTTCAAGGGCCAGTGAGTTAGCTCAGCAGTCTAAGGTGCCTGCTTAGGCAAGCTTAGGCAAGCACAAGGACAGTGGTTCAATCCCCGGCACTACATGCTGGACCAGACCCACCCCCAGAGTGGGCTGAGTTGGACACACACACACACACACACACACACACACACACACAATGATAATAATAATAAAGTTTCAAAACTAAGTCTAACAAATGATCACATACACACACTCCCCTACACACACACACACTCACATATACATCTCAAATACCAATCACCTAAAGGTAACCTAGAAAAGGCACCTAGAAACCTAGCATTTACCACATGGCCTCTACCCCCTAGCTCTCTAAGTCCACCAATTCAGACATTTTTAGATATTCTAGATTATGCACATCATGGAAAGGCAGTAACTCCACATGTGACCAAACAAATGAAGGCCAAAGAAGGCTGCAAGCTCTGCTTGGCCATTAGCCATGGTTTAATCCTCAGTTCTGCAGCTTTCCCTGTGCTGAATGGTGGGCATTCATGTCTCTGAGAGGGAAGTAGAAAAGGTATAAATATTTCCCAAGTACCCACTGTGAGCCTGACCCTGCAGTAGGTCATTCACATGTCACCTCATTAACCCTCCTTATCCAGATGTGACACCAAAGGAAACAAGACCACACAGCTGCTAACTGGCCTACTAAAGATCCTCAGGAAATTTGCCTTTCTGAGATCTGATGCTTCTATCCCTGCCACATATGGACTTTACCTTCTCATCAGAGACAAATGAGATTTACACACCTTAATTATCATTCCCATTTTCTGAGTCAAATCCTACAGACCACTGTAGTCCTTAGGAGGGTATATGTTACAAGCTGCATAACCATACTTGTAGAGAAGCCATTCATAGACCCCCTGCCTAAAATGCTTCATTTAAATTTCAAATCATAGTCCCTTATTTTTTCATAGTTCTAAAAATGGCATGATATGAACAGCAAAAACAAACACAAAAAGTACTCCTACGTCTCAAGAGAGACAGAGGAATGGTAATAGGATGATGTCAGTGCCCACATTTTCTCTTCTAATGAAAATAAGAAAGTATCCAGAGCTTTCTGGACTGTATCACATCCACATCATGGTGCCAGCTACCTTTGATGGTAGCTGCAACAGAGAGATGGAGAAAGTGTAGGCCAGAGGGACGGGCCCAGGTAGGACTTTTCCATGCCAATAGCCACAATGGAGACTTGATGTACTTTAATTCAGCTGCTCTTTGCAGCAGTCTGGTTATTCTTAATTTAGAGATAAAGAAACTCAGAATCCAGGAAGCAACCCCCCCCCAAACTCACCCCTTCACTAGTAGAACTCAGATGCAAAGTCACTCTTCCACCCACTCCCCACTGTGCCTTCCCACCATGACAGAACCACTCAAGAGCTTATCTACCCAATGAAGTGGGTGCCTATGACACAATCCTGAAATCTACATGCTTCTAGATATCTTCTCTGTATATCAAGTCTTTAACATGGTCACAAGCAGTGATAACCATAACTGAATTCTGTGCCTTTATTTCCACACATCCAGGGTGAATTTTACTAACAACTCTGATTTGTGTTAGTTTTCTGTTTCCCATTTTTCCCCACAGACACATCTTTAATCTACAACCTTAGACTGGCAAGATCTTCCTGCTATACCACCATCTCCTTGTTTTGTTCTCATGTCTCCGGTGTTGCCAAGTTCTCTTTTCTAACATGCCTCTCTGGACATGTTATTTACTTTATTTAAATCCCACTGTGAGTGTTAATCCTCATATGTCAACTTGGCAAAGCACACTCTTAAATGTATCTGGATGAGCCACAAATTCATGACCTTGGGGACTGTCTGGTCTCTCTGGTGCTGCCACCCTGCTCTACTTCCCAACCACCATGAACTAGGAAGATTTGTCTATGACATCTTTCCTTTGTGATGATGGAGCCAGCCCATCAAGGACTGAACCCATGAGCCAGAAGGACTTCTCTTGCTTTAAGTTTTGAGCATCAGGTATTAAGACCCAATAACAGAGAAGCTGATTAATAGACCTACCATGGTTTGTTGGTTGATGATGAATCAAAGCATGGTTTCTCATGAAAGCTACCCAAGTTGCAATGTCCTCATGACACTCTGCTTAGATGTCAAAGGAGTTGGCACATAGCAGAAAGAGCAGAATAAGGTATGATCAGAAAGATGGCAAGAA